AATTCAAAAAACAAACAAAAAAAAGTGCTGTATCAAAAAAAAAAAAACTCCAATGATAAAAGATAATTAAGCTTTAATGGATATTATAAGTTTAATTTAGGAATAATAAGTAGTTTTACCTAGAGTTAAACAGGAAGAGAAAAATACTTGTATTTTAAAGAAAGATATCTTAAAACAGGGCAATATTATATGTACTGTTATAATACTAGTCATATTGAGTAGGTTATTCTAATGGATTTTACCAGTGATAAAACCACTGAACCATTTATTATATTTTACTCAAGGGAGCATTTCAACACCATTACTACTACAATACAACCAACAATGTTATTTGGCAGACAAGGCTCTTGATCATTCCACAACTGAGTTCCTTAACAATGATATTGGCGTTCAACGGTTATCAAGTAGAGAAAATTAACCATATTCACCAAAAATAGTACTTCGCACTCAAGTGCTAGTGTTTTTCAATAATGATACTGTCGTCCAACTACTACGAGATAGAATAATTAAGAAGGCTAGGTTCATCAATTATACTACTCATCACTAAACTGGTACTTGATACGATACGCAACCATATATTTCAACAATGGCACTGATAGGCATTTCTTATCAGGAGATAAACTAACTAAATTATCATTAATAACGCGTTAGCACTTAACTGATACATGATAATTTGTTTTCTAACTAGACTACGACAAATAACTGTAGAAACTTAATACGTGTTGTAAATTCCCATTCTGACACTTGTTCATTCAAATGAAATACTACAAGTTTCAAGTTTAGCTTTCCATCGTCATCTTTGATATTCTAAACATTAAGGCGTCCGAACTAAGCTCATTGTTTATCTAAACCACCTTAACGTTTTCAGTAGTAAAACGCTTATCCCTTCCTTGGCTTCTTAAAGGACAGTTATACACAAAAAGAAACTTCAGCAGAGAAAGGTTCCAACACTACGAGATTCCTGTGATGGCTAACGATGGTGGTGGACGAACTGGATACTCTTTTGTGCGAGTCACAATAATTGATGTTAGTAGTCACTCGTTGGAGTTCACCTGTACAGAGTATGAAGTCGCTCTCTCTTCTAACGCGACAGTTGGAAGCACTGTTTTAAAGGTAAGATGAACGATACTTTTGAGTACTAATCAAAAAAGTATTATGAAAACTAATTCATTAATATGTTTTCATTAATATTTAGTATTACGCTTGTGCTTTATGGACTTAACTGTTGCATTTCAAAATCGAATAAACCAAAATAATTAGCTTTGATTGGTTTGGGATCTTTATTATTTGAATGAATGCTTTTGATGCATAATGGCCAGGTGGTTAGGGCGCTTGACTCCCAATCTGAGGGTCGTGGGTTCGAATCCCCATCCCACCAAACATGCTCGCCCTTTCAGCCGTGGAGGCGTTTAATGTGACGTTCAATCCCACAAGAGTAGCCCAAGAGTTGGCAGTGGGTGGTGATGACTAGCTACCTTCCCTCTAGCCTTTCACTGCTAACGTATGGACGGCTAGCACATATAGTCCTCGTGTAGCTTTGTGTGAACATTAAAACAAAACATATCGTAAAGTGTTTGTTTGTAGTTAAGCACAAAGCTATACAATGGGCTATCTGTGCTCTGCCCACCACGGGTAGCGAAACCCGGTTTCTAGTAATGTAAGTTCGCAGACATTCCGCTGTGCCACTCGGGGGGGGGGGGCATATACTAAATACAGAGGTTTTTAAATTTTGCCTTGGTTGTTATGCATCTTCAAATATTGAAAATTCACGTACATGTTTAAACCAATAGGTCCAGGCTTTCGACCCTGATGGCGACGTCGGAGAACACCTGAAATATAGTATATACGGAGAAGACGATTCGCTTTTTCATGTATTTTTTGGCATCACCCCAGACCTAGGGATCATCTATGTCAAGCAGTCATTGTTAGGTGAAGGTAAGTTTTCAAGTACATAATTCTTGTTGGTATTTCTTTAGAAATACATACATTTCTCTCTGAATCTATAAAAAACAGGCGAGGAACGTGCAGCTATTTCTGACTCTCTCTCTAATAATCACGAAAGTCTACGAATTCGTGTCGTACGTTGAATAAGATGAAGAGAAATTATTTTTCTATTTCAAATTGGTTTTACATTTGGATGGAGTGCCAGATTAATAGTGATTGGCACCTTATGCCGTGAGGTCCACAGAACTCACCTGAAATCGGCTTGGGATGTTCTGGGGGTTAAGACGATCGACTCGCAGCCTGCCGGTCGCGGGCTCGAAACTCTACGCCGAACATACACGCTCTTTCAGCCGTGAGGACAATATGATGTAACGATCAATCCTACTATTAATTAACACAAGAATTGGTGGTGGGTGCTGCCGGCCGGTTACCTTCTTTCTAGTCGGCAGTTCAAAATGAACAATAACAGATAGCCTTAATAGCTTTGCCAAAAAAAACCCTTCCTCGCTCCTATAAGAATAAACACTTCAGAAATATAGATCAAATTGATATGATGTATTTTATGTCTTTATTCTTCATAATCTCATATGTGGTACAACTTCACATGAATTACGAAGCTTATTTTGTATCACAAATACGCAAATTCAACAAACTTTTCGATACATTTCACTGCATTTTACTAGAGCGCAGCCCAGTGGCCATAGACTGTGAATCCGATGTTCCGACCCGTTACTACCAAAAAATATATATTAAAAAAATCGCTCCCCGCACTATGCGGACATGGGTGTGTTATTAAAGTGACGGCCAAATCCATTATTCGATTAGAGTAACCGAAGAGATGGCGGTGGGTGGTGTTGACTAATAACTGTCTTTCCTCTAGTCTATTACTTCAATAGTAAGGACGGGTAGCGAAGATAGCCTTCTAGTAGCTTTGCGCTAAATTCCACAAACAAAAGCATTTTACTATTGTGACATCTTTCATAGTTAATAACGAACAAATAAAGAAACGTTCATCTCTGTGATCACGCTAACAATGTTATATAGAAATGCGACAAAAAAACCCACATTTCCTTCAAGTCTGCCAGCCGCGAAATGGTAAATAAAAAAAGCGCTTCTCATATGTGATATCCCTCAAAGTTTAGCGCCCTAGGACATATGGCCTAGTTAGCATAATATATAAAGTAGCTCTGTGAAGCACATTATCTCATAAATTAGTATTGTTGTTTGCAACGCTTTCGTGTGTTACAAAAAAAAAGTATTGTTCTTGGATTTGCAATACCTTTAGGTCAGTAAGAGAAGTCCCCCGGTGGGACAACGATGAGTCTATGGATTTACAACGCTATAATAATTGGTTCCATTCCCCTCGATGGACACCACAGCAGATAGCCCGATGTGGCTTTGATATAAAAAGACACACAGTAAAACAAAACAAAAAAAAACATTATTCTATGAGCAGAGAAAAACATGTTATTGTATTTAAATAAAAATGTTTTGAATTTTAAATATAATCTGGTCAAAATACATAAATTACTTGTAGGAGAGAAATAAAAATATGTGTTATGTATTTGAATTTCAAATGGTCTGAAAACGAGCTAAATGGTATTTTGGATTTAGTAGTTACATTAAAGCCGATATATTTAGTAGTTGAGTAAAATCCGATATCTAGTCAGTTTATGATATTTGCCAACAAGATTGATACACACACTTTTCTTTTTTAACACA